CCACCGTGCTGAGGTATCCCTTGTGTTCCTGCAGGGGTTCCTGCCTGGGCCTGGAGGTGGCTTTGGGTCCAGAGCAGGAGCTCCACTGATGCTCTGCAGGGACAGAGGTTGCTTTCACTGGAACGGTTTGGGTTGGAAGGGACCTTAAAGATCATCCCATTCCACCCCCTGCCATGAGCAGGGACACCTTCCACCAGCCCAGGGATCCCAAACTGGCTTGAACACTTCCAGGGATCCAGGGGCAGCCACAGCTTCTCTGGGCAATCTGGACCAGTTTCTCCCCACCCTCACAGGGAACAATTCCTTCCCAATATCCCATCTAGCCCTGCCCTCTGGCAGTGGGAAGCCATTCCCCCTTGTCCTGTCCCTCCATCCCTTGTCCCCAGTCCCTCTCCACCTCTCCTGGAGCCCCTTTAGGCCCTGCAAGGGGCTCTCAGCTCTCCCTGGAGCCTTCTCTTCTTCAGGGGAACCCCTCCAGCTCTCCCAGCCTGGCTCCAGAGCTTGGGGGTCATCATTAGGATGATCTGCACAACTTTGGAGCTGGTTTGGTTACTTTTAGGAGGTAAAGGGTTAAATGCTGATTAAAGCCAGAGGTTGGGATCTTAAAGAGCCATTTGCTGGAAAATTGCAATGGGGCTGAGTATTTCTGGAATGATTGGAAAATAAAAGAAGATTTTACAGTCCATGTGAATGAAAATACTGCTTTAGGGACACAGGGCTACCAGAAGTCGTGGAAAAGGGTGGAGAAGGTGGTTTGAACTCCACAGAGTGATGAGATCCCAAAGCCTGGCCTGTGTCCCAGCTGTTTTATGAGTGTCCCTGGCTCAGTCACATGCCAGGAGATCTCAGATTATAAACCAAGGCAAGGTCATGGAACGGGTGCTTTTGGGCTTTTGTCCTTGTTTCCCAGCCCAGCCCCGTCCTGGCTCACGGGGCGTTGGAACCGTCAGCGGCTTTTGGGGTTTGCTGTGAAACACAAACTGGATTGAATTGGAGCAGTTTGTGGTTTTCCAAATGTTTCCTGAAGCTCCCAGTTTCCTGATTAACTCCATAGCTGCTGCTTGAGGCACAGAGGTGACAGTGGGTGGGATAATTGCCTCCAAATCTAAATAACTCCTTCCTTTTGGAAGCTGATCCCCTCTTTTCCGAGTGAAATGACTTTGGCTTTGTTTTTTTTAGAGCATCATTTTACCTGTTCTTGCCAATACCCACAATTTCTTGCTGGGAAATCTTCTCAGTCCTTTGGAAATTGGTATTTTGATTTCCTCCCCGCTATGTTTCCTGCACACTGGGGGGGAATGGCTGATGCAGTGTGTGGTAAAAAATCATCTGTGCAATGTGGTGTTTTCCAGCTCAAATCTCCATCACTCCACGAGCTGAAAGTGAGGGAAAGTCATTCCCTGAGGGGGGTATTTGTTGGGGAGCTTTTTGCAGAAATATCCCCCTTTCAGCTCTGCTGAAGAACTCAGTTCTGTTAAAAAAGAAATAAAAGTATCCTTTAAAATCCTTTAGGAGTCTCTGGAGTGGGGGAGGCACCATTAGAGGTTGGTGTTGGGCCTCCTCGAGATAAAGATCTATTTTTGTGCTTCTTGTTAGGTGGATACTGAGTAGGAAGAAAGGAATCAAAATTTGGAAAATTGCTTTTAAAGGGGATTTAGCCTATAAAAGGAATGAACTGGGGTTTACTGTGCGTCCTCTGCTGCATCACTTGTTTTTTCCCTTCTCCTTGTTTTCAAACGTCCTTGGAAATTTAAAGGATTGGTCACTCCCAACCCCCAGCTTGGTCCTGAACTCCTTTCTTCCCATTCAACCCTCGCTTTTAAATCCCCCTCCCAGGTCTCTGGATAAGCTGATAAAGCAGATTCCCTCTCATAAAATGAGATGTTCAGGAAGGAAAGGTCCAGGGAGATGGGAATTCAATGATGGCCAGGGGTCAGAGTCATTTTCCCTTTGATAGCAGCCTGTTTTTCATGGATGAGTGTTCCCAGGGATTAGTTTCTCAGTGAAAATGAGCAAAATTACTCCATGATTTTTGTGTGGGGTGTTAAAGACCTAAATCTTTGTCCTTTTTGAGCACAAAAATTGAGGGAAATTTCCCCTGGAAGTGCAATATGTGAAATTTGGGGCTCAGTGCTCTGCATTTCCTCACTGTACAGATGCTCCCCTAAAAACCCCCTCACATGTCGAAATCTTCTCCAGGCAACAGTTGGTTTGAAGGTTTTAAATTCCTTTTCAAGGTGGTTTTACTCCCTGGGCTGGCAGGGACCTCAAAGCCCATCCAGGGACAGGGACACCTCCCGCTATCCCAGGTCGCTCCAAGCCCCGTCCAGCCTGGCCTGAAGCAAAGAATATTTAAACAACTTAAGTCTGAAATTTCATTTCCTTTCTAAAACTTTGTTTGTTTTTTTTTTTACATTTCTTCCTCTCACAGATGGGAAGGTTGAAGTGACCAAGGAAGGAGTGAAGCTGTGCACCATGGGGCCTGGCAAGGTTTTTGGGGAGCTGGCCATCCTCTACAACTGCACCCGGACCGCTACTGTCAAAAGTAAGAGCGTTTGGGACGTTGGGGTTTCGTTGGGGTTTTCTCACCTCTGCCTTGGAGTTACAGCCTCTGGCAGCTGTTTTGCTTTCTTCAGTCATGAGAGGTGTGGATTTTAGTGTGGGATTTAGCCACTGGGAGCAGGGAGGAGGTGCAGAGGAAGCACTTCCCTGGATTTGGCCGCTCATTTTTGCTCCCTCACGAACCTCAGGTTGATTTCCCTCATGCAGAGGAGCTCATCTCATAGTTTTCCTTACAATTCCTGCTGAATCTCATGGTATTTATGTTTTTGTGGCTTAGAAGAGCATTTCTGACCTCATAAGTCTTCAGTAAGTCGAGCTTAGTATCTGTTCAGGACAAATTTTCTGCACTAAGCTGACTAAAATAAATCAGGAAAAAAAACCCCTGGATGCCACTTGACCCCCTGCTCTAAACTCTTCAGCACTTCTCCTGTAATCTGATTTCTTTTATGAGCGTCCTGGGCAAAGGCTGGAGTTGCTCAATTAGGGGGAGGAAATAAATCACAGAAATACAACATAAATACATTTTCCTCTAAATTTGGATGAATAGTTGGGATTTGGGATATTTGGTACCACAGCCCTCCCTGATCTTGAGGGATCAGAGTTTATGGTGGTGTCTTAAGCAGAGAGGTTTTATAGGAGATGATAAATAGTTGTGTGGTTTTAAGATGCTGTAGGGGAGAAGTTAGAAGGGTACAGATGGGGAAGAATAATACAAAGACAAGTCCCAGAATAATGAGGCCTGGGAATGAATCCCTGGCTGGAAAAAGGCCTTTTACAAATATCTCATTTTGCTTCGAAAAGAGAGAGAAAGGACAAGAACAAATGGGCGGAAATGACAAAACAGGGGAAGAGAACTGGATTCTTGTGTGAAGGACGTGCTGTTCCCGAGTTCTGGAGCAGGGCACCGAGAGATTCCATTGTCACCTGTGCAGACCTTGCACTGGTTATCCCAGGGAAATCTTGGCTACAACGCAGGCAGTTATCCCAAATAATGCAGGAAATGTGCAGTGTAAGCAGTGCTCAGCTCTGGGGCAGCCCCAGAGACCTCCAGAGTGTTGGGCTGTTCTGCTGGGAGGGCTCCACCTCCTTCCCCCAGTCCAGCAAGGAAGCAGCAGGAACACGGGTGGGATTGGGAAGTGCTGATCCCCCCTCTCCTCCCTCGGTGCCTTATCCCTGTACAGCCCTTTTCTCTGTCCAGGTGAGGGTTTGGGGTGTTGGTGGTGCTGATAAATGAGCAGCTTGTGTGATAAACATGGTCAGAGAAGGTTGGGAAGAGCAGAGACAGAGGGGGAATGGTTGAATCCTACAAAAGGAAACGAGAGGATAGTGGTTGTTTAGTTCCCCTTAGGAATGCAGAGCTAAAAGGCACCTGATCCTCTACTGCCACCATCCCATCCTTGTGTAATCCTGCACAGCCACCCTACTCCTGTGTCCCTTTTCCCCTCTTTGTCTGGGATCTCCCACAGGAAATCAAACTGCAGCAGTTTGTCCTGGCGGTTTTGCTCCCACTGCCCTTCCCACCTCCTAAATCTCCTCTCTGGAGCAAAATTCCAGGTTGCCACTGGGCACTGAGTTGTGCCAAATCCTCTTTCCCTGGTTAAATTGGGGGCAGGAGTAAGGTCAGTGCTCCAGGCACCCTCAGAGAGCTGTTGCCTCGAGGAAGAGGTGTCTGTGGTTGTTGCTCTCTGTCCCTTCCCAAGAGGTGTCTGTGGTTGTTGCTCTCTGTCCCTTCCCAAGAGGTGTCTGTGGTTGTTGCTCTCTGTCCCTTCCCAAAAGGTGTCTGTGGTTGTTGCTCTTCGTCCCTTCCCCACCAGGGTCGTACATTTATAATCCTGCACCTTCTTCTGCCACGTTTGGAATCTCGTTCCCAAAGCCAGCAAGGGACTTTTAGGTCTTTTGTCTCTCATTACTGCTCAAGTGAGAACCAGTTGTCACTGTAATGGGCTTTATATCCTTCCAGGTGACAGGGGAACTGCTCGAGCTCAACCCGACTGAGCTGAGGTCGGGGAGGAGCTCAGATCACTTCAGGGCATAGGATTGACTTAAATGGGTACAAACAGCTCCCAGCTCCTGCCTGTGCTCTCAGCTAAATGAGAAATAAATGTCATGGATCTGTAGAAAGGCAAACCCTAGGAAACATTCCATTCCATCTGGGGGGTGACTGAGCAGGTTTGTCTCAGCAGGCGTGAACTGCTGGTGACTGTGGTGGAAGGAGCATCACCCAGGTCTCACTCAGAGAAACACTTGGGGCTTCCCAGTTTTCAGGAGGTAGATTCCCATTCCCTCCAGAGCATCAGGAGGGAATTTTTACACACATTTTGATGTGTGTAGTTCCTTAGCAGGACATTCAGGATTCCTCTCTGGGCGATGGGGCTGCAGCAGGGACTGAGTGCAGGGTGGATTTTTGGGGTGTGAAGCCCAGCACTGCACGGGGGCCGGGATGATGTGGCAGCTGAGTGGCAGCTCTGGCTGGAACTCGTTTCTCTCTGTACCCTGGCGCTGGCTTTGTAAATAATGAAGATTTTAGTGTCACTGTGTTTAGTCTACACGGGCTCCTCAGCTGCTGCTCGCTCTGGAGGAGCAACTCAAAGGCATAAATCACCCCGGGAAGGGCTTTGTCTTTTCCCTATGATTTAGAAGACATTAAAATGTAATGATTCTGATCTGACTCCTGTTTCAGAAGGACCTCTTTAATAAGGTAATCCAGGTCTTTTGAAAGCCTGCCCCGAGAGAACCATTAGAATATTTTGTCACAATTATTCCTGTCTCAAAGGAAAGCAGGATGGGGGCTGAGCAGGGCCTGGGAAGGAAGAGCAACCAAAGCCTTGGTGCTGAGGAGCACTGAGGAAGGCAGGGACACATCTCATGACACGTGGCCTTGTTTTAAGACAACTGGATGATTTTTGACATCTGATTTCTGGCTGTTGTTATTCTGAAGCATTTGCTTTTTGTTCCCAGCTGTTACAGAAAGAGTAATAGTAGTTTTTTGGGTTTGTTTTTTTGGTTTGTCTTTTTTATTTCTTCTGGTGGCAACTGGTCAATCTGTCCCAAATATGTCACTGCCCAGGCTTTGTGAATCACTGCTGTTCACAGATCAGCTTCCACTGCACAGCCAGGGAAATCCAAACCAGCAGCTCATTCCTTCCCCTGTCTGCATTGATTATCCTGAGCTCTCTAGTGCCTACATGCAAACCTTGATGCAATTTAAGGCAGAATCACAGGCTTTCCTCCCTGATTCCAACAAATAATTTAATCCAGTGCTTTAGAAAAAGGAAAACTCCACTCCTTAGGGATAAACTGTGTCACAACTACAACGATGTCTCTGATCCCCCGTTACTGGTAACGTGGGGGGAGAAGGAACGAGGAGAGGTCAGGTAAAAAAAAGCTAAAAAAGACAAAATTACCCCCAGCTGAATTCAGGCTGAGTAAAAAAACTTTCATTTGCTGATAGACAAGATGTTTTTCTTGTGCTGTAGCTCTCATTCCTCTTGGATAATGTGTGGAGCAGAGTTCAGCAGGACTTTTACAGGTGATTTTGGACAGCACTAATTTTGTGAAAGGAGTGGATTCTTCATCCTCTCAGGATGTTGTGCTTATTCCAGGGGTAGCTTTAGCATCTGAAATAGATTCTCCCGGGGGCAAAATTCCAACAGGAACCTCCCACAGGCTGCCCTTTGCAGGGGAGTTACACACTCAGCACCAGTCTGTGCTTTGAGGGAGACTGTGAGCAAAAAAGAAAGCACAGGCTGAGGCTGTTAAACTCTAAATTATGGAAATCTCTTTTCTGCTCCTCAAAAGCCACTTTCTCAAGCTCTCCCCCTCTTGCCAGCAGTGCTAGTTGTACAGAACTCCGTGTGGCACAGTGGGATTAAGGCAGGAGTTTAGCAATTCCTTGCCAAGCTTGGATGAGTTTGAATTTTCCACTGCTGTTTTTTTTTTATTTAGTAGAGTCCTGTGTGCTGGTAGTTGCAGCCCCAGAAATTACAGAACTTTTCCAAGGAGCTTGGTAACCCGGGTTATTTGCAAGGAAAAATAAGGCAACAGCAGTTGCCAATTAAACCTGCAGAGCCTCATTAAAAGCCCTGGAGAAGGATGCTGGCTTTGTGTTTCTCCTCTAACAATTACAGGAGCTCAAATCTTCTTCAAACAGTCACACCCCTTGGAAAGAAGGTTGTCTTTACATATTCAGCCATTTGGTTAAAACCTTTCTGCCATTACTTCAGGACACCCAGGATGGCCAAAGCAGAGTCTGGAGTGCCCTGGGTGGAGATAAATGGATATATCCTTGGAGAAAGTAATTTAAACCCTCCCTGGCACCGTATTTTTCTTTGACCTTTATGGGGTTTTGCCAGGTAATGCAACAAAATGGGATTGGATTATTCCTCCAAGGGGATGATAAGGAGGAAATGATGTTGAGAACAATGGGCAGGAAGTTTTTTCCTCCTCTTGTTGAGGAGACAGGAGCACCTGTAGGATAGCATCTCTGGGGCTGAGGAGGGACCAGCACAGGGTCCTGGCTGAAAGGTTAATGCAGACACAGTCTAATCCAAGAGAGAATGGTCTGGGATGGGAAAAGCACGGTGAAAAATTCATCCACCACCTGGGTTTGCTGGGAGCCCAAAACGTTGCCAGGCCTGTGGGAAAAATCAGAGCTGGGGAAGGAAACAGGGCAAAAAAAAATAAAGGAAATAAGTATCAATGTCTTGATACTTAATTGGATTATTAGTTGTTTTTAAATAGGAAGGGCATGGTGTAGAAAGAATGACCCACCCTGGTCTTGGGTATCAAGCCAGTGTTTAAACTGGTTTCCTTCCAAAATCCACAGATTATTTTGTTTTTACACTTGATGCAGTTCTGGCACCTCAAGATTCAAGTCCCCACTTTGCTCAAAACCTCAAAACTGCTGTGGCAGCTTTGGGGTTATTCCTTATCCTGACTGATCCTTATCCCTTCAGGAGTTTGAGGAATGCCCATTGAAATGGC